CGGACTGCGCACGCAAATCGAGGTGAGATAAAAAGGAGGTTTTTAGGCCTCGAAATACTGAATTTGTTTCTAAAATAAGTGATGATGTTTTGGGTCATCACATTAATTAATAAAATTTTTATTTATTTTAAGAAACAAACACTTCTACATTTTTTAAAAATCTGTAATGATACATGGATGGATATTCATTTCTTTATATATATTAGTAATATACTGTATAGATATACATTATATATAATAGATACTAATATATAAGTAAGTTAATATACACTTGCAACTAATTAATATTCATGTACTTATATCACTACTAGAAATCAGGTGATTTCCGTCCGCAATTTCCGACTGAAATCGGTTGGAAATTGATAATTTCCGATCAAATTCTGACCGATTTTAATTGGACGAAAAAATGATGGTCGCAAACGTGTACCGACCGCAATTGGTCGGAAATTTCCGACCGAAATCGGTAGGAAACTTCAACGCGTTGACTGACTATCAAACTTTATTTTCCGATTGATTTCGGTCGGAAAATATTAAAAAAAAATTTTAATTTTCAAATTTCAGCCGAAATCGGTCGAAAAATATTGAATTCATTTTCTGACCAAATTCGGACGGAAATTTAAAAAAATAAAAATTTTATATAATTAAATAATTATTTGTAAATTATTAATTTATTTAAAAAATAAATATATATTCATAATTTCCGACCGAATTCGGTCATAAATTTCAAAAAAAATGGAGATTTCATTTGAAATTTTCGACCGAATTCGGTCAAAAATTTTCAATTTCTGGGAAAAAAAATTAAATTTTGAATTCAGAAATTCAGAAATTTTGAATTTCGGGGCGAAAACTAAAGTTAAACCAAAAAAGAGCCAAAAACTAAAGAAAAAATAGCCAAAAGAAAAGATATCGGGGCATATAACAGTACAAGCAAAACAAAATGGAGCTGGAATCGAATCCAAGTCATCCAAGAGCAACAATAAGCTGCATACAAGACTAGTTCCCCAAAAGGGCTTTTGAGTATCAGGGTGCCTAATAAAATATATAACCATTTGTCACGGTATATTGCACATATATACATATAAATATAGGATTTTTTCCGAGATCAGCGGGTGTCCATAACCTCTCTACTGAAAACTACTCAACTCGATGCCACTTTTCGAGATTAGGCCGAACACAACCAATGCGCAACTTAAAGTTGGCTTAACGCAAACTAACAACCATATGACAATAACAAATTAAAGAACCAAAAAAGTAGACTGGCATGTACATTCCATAAATTCTTGATGATCGGTCCACATTCGGTGGAATATAATTTGCAGTGATCAGTTCCATATACCAATTCTGATCGCGAACTTTAGTCATCATCACAAAGCTTGGAAATAGTACAGTTATTTCCCTGGAATGTACATAATATTAGAGCAAATTAGCTATCAGAAGAATGCTAACATTATTTAGATCCATGAAATGAACTGAATGTTTTCACCTTATGCTTAATTGTTTTATTTGCTCCAATGACATTATATAAAAGTGTCAATTCTGTTTCTTTGAGAATAGATACCATTTCCTTAGCTACAAGATTAGACATGAAGCGCAAGTTCAAATTTTGAGTACCTCGAACTTGTCATAAACATAATGATAATATCAATAAAATCCCAAAGTATGAAGAATGTATTTTCATGTGGTTGTATTTAATACCATCCCATCAAGAGAAAGTTTTAGATGGAAGCTTTAGATGGATCTATCATTTTCTAAGACAAATATATCAAAGATGACGACGGTATAAATAACATGATAATCAACTAATTGAACCTAAAACATAATCTGAATAACCGAAATAATAATAATTCAAACTAATATACTCGAGTCTAAACCAATAAAGCGACTACTCATAGTTGACAGAATCAGTAGCGAGGGATGAAATAATATGGCTAACTCGAACATATAGACGACTAAACTCAGAATCACGGAGAGAAGACTAACATCACTGATTCACAAGTAACAAACGACTAACTAATACCGCTAACTCAAACAAACGAGTAACCAAATTGACAAATATGGGTTCGATAAGCGAACTTGGCCGGCCTAAATTGGCCCCACAAGAACATACGCTAGATTTTAAACTCAATTTTAAAGGAGATTCCTTTTACAAACTTAAACAAGTGCTTGCAGCATTATTACCAGTTCAACTACAACACTTTCCAAATCATGAGATCATGCTAAAGACTCCATACTTGGTTATTAAAGTTCAAATGAATCCACTATATAACCGATAAACTGTTCTAGTGTTTATAATCTACGAAATTCTAATGCAAAGAGCTGCACTGAGATATATATTAGTAATATACTGTATAGATATACATTATATATAATAGATACTAATATATAAGTAAGTTAATATACACTTGCAACTAATTAATATTCATGTACTTAATTAAATGTATATTTTCCCTTATATAGATTTGCATTAATGTGATAATATTTGATTGCTAGTTAATTTCCTTAATTATAGGGATTCTACCGCATTCATTAGTTGAATAAAATGAAAGCACTTATACTGTGCAAAACGTGAATCCAATAATAGTTGTAGACAATGGAATAATCTCTTATAAAAATTGTAATTATGAAAATTTTCCCTGCATTTTTAAATTAGTTCTTTAAGAGAACACTAAATCCCTGAGAACATTGTGGAGACAACTTTGACAGCACATCTGTGGGAATCCGAGCCTAACTTCATGTGAATTATTTTGTGGGAAAACTCAAGTATCCGGATACTATATCTAAGTCCCCATAATAGTATACTATATTGATGAGTAAAATAGTGGGGTTATGAGTTATATTTTTATAGTAATAATAATGATGGCATAGTAATATCTCATTGATTAGTAGTATTGAAAGTTACTGGAATGAAATTTTGGTGAAATACAGAATCCTTTTCTATTATTCCTTTAAAGGAAGAGACAAGAATGATGATATCATTATTATTAGCTTTTTAAAGGATACACATGAGATGGAATTTGTGGAAACGAGGATTTTAGTACACTGTTGGGGAAAATTGAACCTACTTATGAAGCTACAATATTGGATTTTTATTATTTAGTACATAAAATACTAAAATTATTTTATAAGTTGTTTGATGGTGTGATACGGCTGTGAGCTATGAGGTTGTGATTTGTTGGTTTGATATGGCTCTGAGCCTTGATGTTGGGCATTGTGTATGCCTTTGTACATCACTCGAGCATGTGTATGATTCTTGATATATATTTCGGGCATTGTGTATTCTTAAGTAAGAATTTCGTATGCTCCGTTACTATTTGAGGCATTGTGGTGCTGTCGTGGACTCGTAAAGGTGTTGGTTAATTTTTTACGCTACAGTTATGACAAGTCCTTAGTGCGTGTGATAAGATATGTGTACTTTTGTTGGTTAATTCTTATTAACTCTGTTGATACATATATATTGAGTTATGTATAATCATTGTATTGATTATATCGTTCTTGTTGTGGTGTGTTTGTATTTTCTAACACTTAATCTAGACGTATTCAAAGTGGAGGGTCGATGATCTTACTGGGTTTTATTTACGTATAACTCACTCCTTACCTGCATCTCTATACATATACCGTTGTAGGAGATAGAGCTAGTGGCTGACGAGTTTGTTCGCATGGATCCTATTGCTGAGGTCAGCCATCGCATTGTTTGTTTCAGCTTTCGTTACAGCTTTATCTTGTTCGTGTTAGTTATTTTCTTTTTCTTTGGGGTTTGCATACTCGTTAGTAAAACTCATATAACTCTGTTAGATGCTCCATGGTCTTAGAGTGGGATTTGGGCTAGAGTGTTATTATTTGAGTGATTGTTGATTTTTCTATCAATTGACTAAGGTATTGGGTGATAACTACATCATCTCTAATTATTAATAATACTTTTAGACCTGTACTTATTTTTCTTCCGGTGTTTGTTTAAATGGTTAACTTTTGAGAAAGGGGTTCGCCTGGCAGGTGGTGTTAGCTGGGTGCCACTCACGTCGAGATGATAGTTTGAGATGTGATAAAGTTGGTATCAGAGCATAGGTTTTAAGTCCCGGGTCATGGAGCATTATTAGTAGAGCCTTGTTCATGGATATGTAGGCGCCTATACATATGATCTTGAGGCTACTAAGCATTTAGGATGTTTTCCCTTCTTTCATTCTTTGGTCGTGCGTTGAGATAACTTCAGTTTGACTTTAGACTGTTTCTTTCACAGATGGCTAGAACACGCACACCCTCATCTGCTAGACATAGTGCTGGACGTGGTACTACCCAAGGTGGTGGCCAAGTCGGGGCTCATCAGACTAGAGCGCAGATTAGTAGACAGGCTACTCCTCAACCTGAAGTTGTGAACATGGGTCAACCCCAAGCCGCTATGCCAGACCAAGTGCAAGAATAGGTGGTTCATGATGCACCAGCTGTTGTGCCTACTATAAGCACGTAATTTTGACCCGCGCAACTTTTAAAAGCAGTATTTTTAAAATATTTACTAATTTTTTATTTTAATAGGATTTCAGTCAATTTTTAATTTTAATTTTAAAACATAAGTTTAAAAACACAAAAAAAATAGTTTTATATTATTTATTCTCTTATTATATCTTTTTTTATTTATTTAAGCTTATTAGTATTTTATAATGATAATATTTGAATTTTTACCATTACTTTAACATAGTTTTCTCTACCTTTTTATATCATTTAAAAAAAATACCAAAAGTATTTTTATTTTTATATATAGTTCACTTTAATAGTTTATTCTTATTAACTAAGATTAATTAATATATTTTGATAGTATTTTTATTTTTGTTCATTGATAAAGAATTGAATTTAGGCTAATCGGGAGCTCATTTTTGAATTTTAGTGGCCCAGCAAAACAAATGCCCATTCTTCCCAACCATTAGCCTACTCTCCACTTAAATCATCCCTTCCACCTCTATATAATATCCAATTATAAAAACCCTACCCTAATTTTTCCGACCAAGGTCAGCCGCCCACCACAAAAAAAAGGGGAGCTTTCATAAACATTTAATGGAATTCTAGATGAGTAACGTCTCTCGGACATTTTAGCAAAACAGCTTGTGTGCATGTTCATCAATTGCACTCATTTTATCACATACACAGAAACGGACATAGAAAACAGAGGGAGGCTGCTCACAATTACGTTGAGCAGGATTTAATCATAAGAAGGGATCACCCATTTAGACTCATTTGCTCTCATACCCACAATCACTGTTCTCACTCAAATCGCTAAATCCTAAGACGAAACAAGAGGAGCTGCTGCTTCGGATTTCGATCCTATGCCTCGTCTACATTTTGGCATTTAGAAGATTCGAGCGAATCTTGGACAGATTTTCGGGGAAGAGAAGAAGAACGAGGGTTTTTGAATTTCGGATTCCAATTTGGCCTCTCCTTATTTTTTTTGTTCCAGTTGATTAACACAAAAAAAATGAATTCCTCTTAGTTTCAACTTGTTTCCAATTAAAAAAAAAATCAATTTCTTCAATTAATTTTTGTTTTGAGCTATGGATTTTAGCTGAGGATTCAAATCTGTTTCGAGCCTGCCGTGTATGTTTTCTTTGGCTGGATTTGCTTTGGTGTTAGAATCGCTAACTCGAGGTGTTTTCGATCCGAGCCTGCAATCGAGGTTTCGGCCAGTTTGAAGGTTCTAGTCTCAATTCTTCGTTCAAGCTTGTTCTCCATGGTTCCATCATTGTAGCTGCTGAAATTTAATTGAAAGTTGGCGCATAAAGGTCCATCTAAACTTATCTATTTTATATGTTTGATATCTCTGTTTGCATATATTTTTACATGACGTTGGCTCGTTGTCTAGTATGCTTGTCTGTTTAAATGTGATAAGAATCGTCGGTTCGTTGTTTTTCTTGTTTGGATCTAAGTTATTGATTCAATTTTTTGTGTTTGTTAATCATATTAGTGTTTTCCAGGGATGTGGTCTCTGTTCATTTGAGAAAAGAGCCTGATGGAGTTTCATGATAGTTTCAGTTTAGTAATTAGTTCCGGGAGTGCTCAAAGCGCTTTTAATCAATTTCTCTTATTCCTTTCAATTTTCTGCCAATCTTTTACAAGTTAGCTTGGCAAAGCAATTTTAAATAGTGGTAAGTGAGATGGCTGGGTTTGATAAGTTAATTTTCTGTTACATGAAAAGAATAAGGAGAGGGAAGATGATGAGAAAAGGTTCTGTTGAGAATTTCCATCTTTAAGTTGGTCTCACTTAGTAGGAAAATTCAGTGAGAATTAAGTCTTAGTAGATTTATTTTTGACATGCTTTAGGAATTGGATTTGGCCAAATACATGAAAAACTGTTAAGAAGAAATAAGCATGAATTGAATTCTCTGTTATTTAATTTTTCTTTTATTTAGTTTATTTCTTTACATTGTTCGCTAGTAGCATGTTTAGGCCGACCACACCTGGGTAGGCAATCTTAGGATCTTTTTCTATATATTTGCTTTTGGTTTCGAGGTGAGAGATTTTCCCTTTAGTTAGTTTATATTCAGGGGAATGCCCGTAGAGTTTGTATATATTATTATCCGGGGTTTGCCCCGAAGTAAATGTAAACGGAGGCCATGACGAACACCGTGGAGGAAGTATAGTGTAGGTTATCTTAGGATTTTAATTTTCATTTATTAGATGGGGACACCTCGAGCCTCTTCTGTGTTTTTTTTTTTTTTTGTGTTTTTGCCTCGATCTGAGTATTCTTTAAAGCCGACTTAATCACGTACGCAACCGTGATCTTCACGAGGCTTGGGGAATCCTAACACCTTCTCTGGGAGTCAAATGAATCCCCTTACCTAAAATCTCTGGTGTTGTCAAATGAAACCAAATGTCAGGCGGTGACTCTGAAAATCCTTTTGAAACACAATCTTTTTGCACTTTTCAAAATTGAAAACTCTTTCGATCTTTACAAATCTTTTTGTTCTTTTAAAGAAGGTTAGTAAGGTAAAAAAAAAAAGGTGTGACACCTACCGTTACCCAACCTTCAAATGCAGTATTGAGGTTGTTGAATATGTTAGAGGCATTAGTGTCTACTCAGGGTAGACTTCCAGCTTCCCGGGCTACTTTGCAGGCGCAAGCACAAGTTCAGTTGAATGTTGCAGCTCCTCTGATGACCCCTCAGCGGGTCGTTCAGCCGGTTGCAAATGCAGGGAAGTCTAAAGATCTTAAGAATTTAATGAATCTTAAGCGACCAGAGTTCAATGCTACTCAGGCTTCTATTGAGCCCCAGAAGTTCATTCAGCGTTGTGAAAAAATACTAACTACATTGGGGCTGAAGAAGACTCGAGGGGTGAAGTTTGCTACTTTTCTATTTTCAGGATCTGTGGACATGGTGGAATTCAGTTCAGAGAGGTAGACGAGCAGGGTTGCCACCTATTAATTGGTCAGAGTTTTCAGCTATGTTTATGGATAGGTTCGTTCCACTGAGCAAGCGAGACGACATGAGACGTCAGTTCGAGAAACTGCGCCAGGGCAGTATGACAGTTACAGAGTATGAGGCTAAGTTCATTGACTTAGACAATTATGCACCTTTTTTAGTTGCAGATGACCATGAGAAGGTTTGTGGATGGGTTTGAACATTGTTACCGCGGTCCGGTGGTTAGGGATGCTTGAGGTGGTTCGTATGAAGGAGTAGTTAACACTGCTCTCCGTTATGATCTTATCGGGAGAGGGACATGACCGAGCGAGAAAGCAAAAGGGCTCACAGCACCGGCGGGCATAGTGAGCTGCATCTGTGGGAAAGAGTTGTTTTAATCGTGGACAGTCCAGACCCACTCAGACAGAGCTAGTGGTGCAGTCTTCTAGGAGTGATTATCTAGATAGACAAGGACATTGGCAAATATAGGGGAATGGTAATAGCTCATATCAGTCATGTCAACATCCGATGTGTTCGAATTATGGTAGAAATCATAATGGTCATTGTTTTGGAGCAGATTGGGCTTGATTTACTTGTGGTCAGAAAGGGCATATTGTTGGGTATTGTCCTAATGGGAATTCTGCTACTAGCCATGCTACTACAACATCCACAAAGAACTATTACAGGTACACAGATTCTGACTCTGCTAGCTAGAGCCGCTCCACAGGTTGCTTATGGACAGGGTCTGTGAGCACGTGATTTTTGCCACGCTTAAATTACTCCTACAAATTCCTTAGAATTAGAATTTTTCTTTGTTATTTGAATTAATTGCATGATTTTGTGCCTTCTTTGCATTTTTGTGTGCATTTTAGGTGCCATAATTCACCAAAAGTACAAAAATAGTGCATTTGCATTTAGAATTCGATTTTATATTTTTAGTTTTACTAGTTAATTAACATTACTAAAATAAGAGAAAAGTAACAAAAATAGTCTTTTTACAATTTCAAATTTTACATTTTACATTTTTGATCTAGTTTCCTCTTAAATTAGGAATTAGTTAATTAGTATCATCTTAGATTTAATTTGGGTCTTTTATTTTACATAATAAAATCAGAAAATTCAAAATAATAAGTAAAATACAAAAATAAATACAAAAGGAAAAAAGAAAAGAGTAAAAAAGAATGGTCTTGATAAAAGACCAAATTTTGGGCCAAAATCCAATTCTAGCCCAATCAACCCCTCAAATCCGTCCAAAATGGCCCAACCCACACCCCTGATCCGGTCCAGCCCTCCCCCTTTAATAAAACGACGCCGTTTTGGCATCAAACAATCCTGGCCATCTATCTTCCCTCATCCAACGACCCTCGATTGATGATGAATTAAAATAAAACTGTCCAAAATTTGTCAAAAACCCTAGAGACCAACCTTCTCGTCCTCGTACCCCTGTAACACCACCGTCTCTGCCACTCCTCTTCCGTCCGCCGCCGGCCGGAAATCGACGCCGCCGGCCGGAAATCGCCGCCGCCGGCGGCCAACCTCCAAACCCACCAAAAATTACACCCCTGAATCCTCTCCCTCTCCTCTTTTCAAAGCTCCAAACATCACTCCTCAAATCCAAGCCAAACTCTTCGAATTTCAAATCGAAAGTCCGGACCAAAACACTAAATCACCCAAAGTCGACCAAAATCACACCATAGACTCCCCTCACCTCCTTCTTTCTAAATCCCAAGTTGGTTTCGTTTGAATCTAACCGCGACTGTTCGAATTTTAAATCTAGGGTTCGAAGCTTTCAACCCGTTTTAGGAATTTCAAGCATTTTGTTGGTTTTTGATTCATGTTATATGTCTATTTTGGATAAAATAAACATATAACATTAATCGAAAATCCAATTCGGAGTCAGTCCAATCGAAGACTAAAATCAGTAAGTTTCTCAATTCCTTTCTTTTTTTATGCAATGGTTTGCTTTTGCTTTCTCTAATTCAGTAATTGGTTCATGTTAGCTTAATTTTGATTTTTTCGTTTTGGTTGTTAGATATTAGTTTAATTCTGATTGGTTCGAATCGTAGTGTAGTTAGATTTTTCTTTTAGTTTTTGTTTGGTAATTCTGATAAGTAGTATGGTATTTGATTTAAACACATGTACATTAGCTTTGTGATTTGATTTTTGTTTCCTTTTTAGATTTTAGTTTAATTGTGTTTCAAATCTGTTTTAGGTACTGTTTGATTTTTGCTTGATTGAATCAATCGTTTGTTAGTTTGATTAGTCTAGTTTAATTTGTTTCAATTTCATCAATAATTGTTTTCTAATTTAGTGTTTTAAAGTAATTAGGTTTAGATGATTGGATATAGCTAAATAGTTTGGTCTTCAATTTTTTTTAACTAAGGTAAAAGGGGTTGGGTTTGGTTAGTAATTTCAGGGGCAATCAAGGGTAGTTTAGGCATTGAAAATGGGCTGGTTTGTTAAGGGCCAGTAATTTCAAAACAAAAACAAGGGTAGTATAGGTATTCCATAGGTAGGAAAACAAAGCTAGAACACCCTAGAACCATCTAGAAGGGGGCCTTAGTGTAAGTTTCTGCATTTTTAATGCAGTAACTTGGGCAACAAGCCATAAAATTAGGGATTAAAGTACAATTGCTGAAAATAAAAAGGGGGAAAAATTAGTAAAAATTTCCAGAACCTTCTGCCCTTTTTTATGCCTATAAAAGGCATGTCTAGTGCCTTGGATTACAAGTTTTGAAAAATCTGAAAAATTTCCAAAAGTTTTAGAAACCTGAAAATTCCCCCAAAAATTCCAGCCTCTAAAAGTCCCTCCCAAAAACATTTTATGCAAGCTTAGCATTGGATTTTTGAATTTCAAATTAAAATACTATTTAGATCTTAGATCTAAATTTCCAGAAAAACCAAAAAAAAAGTTAGCAAAACTCCAAAAAAACTCAAAAACATTACTGTTCCATCGAAGTTTCTTCACAACAATTTCGAGTTTCAGTTTAAAAGTTGAATTCCTAGCTCATCTAAGGTCAAAAAATGGTTTCAGCACTTCTGTTTTCAGTGATTAAGGTTTCCTAAGGTTACTGGATTTAATTTCGAATTCATTTGGATTCAGTCAAATCTGTTTGCCTATTTTGTTGGTGCTGTTCATTTGTCACTCATTCCTGGGCTATAGTGATACTGTTTGGGCTCCAAATTGACCCTGTGCTTTGGTTTCAACCGCTGATTGCTTGCTTCCCTACTGCTGACTCCCTCTTCCTTTTACTTTGCTTCATTTCCAGGTATTTGCTTAATCTCCAATGGCCAAAGGCTAAGGAAACTTGTAATTGAAGTTTATGGTTTGAAATGAAAGGCTGATCTAAGTGCTCAGATTGCTTAAATTCCTGTTTATTCATGTGTATTGTTCGTATGACAAATTGCTCATGTCAATTTCATGTTTAGCCTACTTATGTACACGTTAGTTTACATGTAAGATTCCATAGTAGCAGCATCTGAAATTTAATGAACTAAGACTTATGATGATTGTATAAGTGGACTGTTTTCCTCTTACTGTGTTAGTTTGCTTTCAGTTATAGTATTTTGATTAGTTGGAATTCAAAAGGAAATGTTAGCTTGGAATTACAGTACTAGTATATATATGGCTTCATGTTTATCGACCTGGATCTCTTCTGTTGATCAGGTGATTTGAGTATCAAGGTCACTTATCTCACATGATTTGCTTTCAATTAAGTTAATAAGGTAGTAAGCTATTAGTACGTGAAATCATCTCAAAAGTCTTCTCTCAATGTCTTCTTCAATTTTAATTCATGTTTTTGTATAAATCAGAATTCAAATCTTGTCACTAGCCCATAAATTGCATCATTACTTGTTCTAAAATTAGCTAGCATAGTAATACAAATTTTAATTTAATTCAAAGTAATGCCGGACTGGCTTAGGCCATAATTTTGGGCCTAATTTGGCCCAGTCACAAGCGCTGCCTAGAACATTTAATTCTATTAGGGTAAAGGCTGGTACATATATGGGCTGACAGCCCAATTTAAATTTTTATTGGGCTCGGTTTGAGGCCCAAAGCTCTGAACGATTGGTTTTAACAAAGCTAAAATGGCCTTTCTTTCCCATGGGCCGCATCAGGATCCAACATGCTGAAGGTTTTAATTTACTCATTTGAGTTGTGGATGTGATGGCAGTAAATAAATTTGAATTATAAATTTGGGGCCTTCCAAGCTAAGTAGCATGTTTGAATTAAGAGGTTTTCCTCTTGTTTAAATGTGGACTTGAGTTTGAGGCCCGAATTCTTTGAAAGATAGCTTACTAGTAATGTTAATTAATTAAGTTGCTTTAGAGACAAATTCAATAGAAAATTATAGTTTGCTTTAGTTTGGCCTTTAAATAATAAAGTGAGATGAGCCTCGCCAAACAAAACACACAAATTGCGGGGCCCTCATTAAATGCTTATATCAAAATACTTAGAATCCGGGCGTGCCGTTTAGTGAATTTCGCGGCCTCCCGCAAAGTTAATAACCTGTTAGTCGCTTTAGGCACGTTTTTAATAATTTTACCTTCTTAAATACGGGTGTTTCATGCAACCCAAATCCAAATCCCAAAATGCTGAATAAGAATGTGTCGAGGATCCGGGTGCATTTCATGTGACGTGATCCGAAAATACGTTTTTAAACGACGTTCACTTTCTTAAAAAAATTTCAACTAATAGCGGTTAAATAATTCTAAAATTTCACTATAGGATGACATGTATAAAAATCTGATTTTAGCCATTTATAATAATTTAAGCGATCGTGCTAGAACCACGGGATCCGGGGGTGCCTAACACCTTCCCTTGGGTCAACAAAATTCCTTAGTCAGAATTTCTGGTTCGCAGACTCCAAATGGGAAGTCGACAATTTTTCTCGATTTGAGATTCAAGCTAAATCAGTGACTTGGGACACCAAAAGCCAATCCTTTCCCAAGTGGCGACTCTAAAAATAAATAAATAATCCCATTTCGAATAATGTCACTTTAAATGGAAAAACTCCCTTATACATTATCCTTCAGGGTAGGTGTGACAGCTCTGGCGACTCTGCTGGGGATACGAACCCAGAATTTCGATTCAGGGTTCAAGAATTCGAGCTTAGTACAATTGTTATATTTGGCTTTATCTGATTTTTCTACATGTTCCATGCTATATGTGCTAAATGCTTTACCGCTTTGATATTTGTTGAAATTGATTATATAAACTGTCGCGAATCCCTTCCTCTCTCTGAGTCTTCTACATCATGGAGAAGGGTCCACTTCGTGTAGCTTCTCTTCTGTTTAGAGTCTTTCCCAATTTAGAACGAGGTTTGGATAAGTTGCTAAGCCGGCGGAGCTTCTGTATCCCCGGTACGCTGCCTCCCCCTCGGCTCGAGTTGTCCGCTCGGGTAAGCCAGGTCTAGACCAATAAACCTAGGGTTCAAACCTAGAAGAACAAAACTCATGCCGGATCCCTAGTAGGACGTTTGTTTGCATCATGTGCATTTGGCTTAGGGGACTCAACACAGGGGTTGGGTCCGTCTAGGACAGGTGACCTGAAATGAATATACCATCCTGATGCATCTTACGTGCTACTTGCGCATTTATTTGCTCGTCTTTGCATGTTGACCGGCTTGTCTAAATGAGTGAAAAGTGAGAAAAATAAGCAGTGTTAGGACTAAGTGAGGGTGACCATTTGTTTTGAAAAAACCCAATGCCCAAATAGTACCGAAATGGTGCCAGATTTTTGAAAAATGAAAACAACAAAGGAAAAGAGAAAAATATTTGTAAAATAGAAAGAAAAGTATTGTTCAAAATAGTTTTGGCAAAGCTGCCCGAACTACGCTGGTTTGATTCTCACCGGATGTGAGATACGTAGGCAACCCTCATTGGGTCCAACCACCCTTTTTGCAAAAATAGCCAAATAATGTCAAAATTTTAATTTTTGTCATAAATAAGTCAGGTGATGCCATTCTTGTCTAAAATAAGCCGAATGTCCCTAAAAGAACGCCGGAAGGCCGTTTTTGCAAGAACAGCCACCCTGAGTTATTTTTAAATGGTTTGCGGGCACAACCTTAAAATTTTCCTCCCAGAAGTGCTGAAAGGCCGTATTTGCAAATCTAGGTCCTTGCTTTCTAAATAAAGAATTTTTGCACAAATAGCCATTTTTCAAAATAAATCATTAAATTCCCCTAAATAAATGTGCAGGATGGATTCAAGTAACATCGAAACCTTCTCAGTCCTGAGCGAGATCCCTTTGAAACTCCATATGTGGTGGCATGATTTGGGAAAAGGAAGCAGAGATACTGTGGTCAAAAGTTTGGGCGGCCTCGTAGATTTATTGAACATCAAACCGAGGAAGGATATCATTGAGGCACTAATACCATTTTGGGACCCGACCCGTAATGTATTCCGGTTTTCAGATTTTGAACTCACACCTACAGTAGAAGAGATTGCGGGATACGCGGGTCTTAACGGGAACCTCCGAGGTAGATACCCATTGGCCCCACGACCGGTAACCCTTCATAGGTTCTTGGATTTGTTGAACATCAGTCGGGATATTCAAGACCCGCACCTGGCGGAAGGGTATTGTACATTGCATTTCTTATATCACCGGTATGGTAACCCCAAAGGTTTCGAGGAACCCAACACAGGATTGACACATGCCGGAAATAAAGACAAATGGGAAGCCCGACGGGGATTAGCCTTCATGGTAGCCTTTTTGGGGGTGGTGATTTGTCCGAGAAAAGATGGTCACATAGACCTCGGCCTAGTAGGGATGCTAGATGTTGCCATGAAAAAATACTAGCACAGTGGTTCCCCTGATTGTAGAAGAAATGTACCGAGCTTTGACCAAATGTCGGGAAGGTGTGAAATTCTTTCAAGGTTGCAATTTGCTCTTACAGTTGTGGATACAGGAACACCTCTGTCACCGCACAGGCTATATGAACTACGGTTTAACCGGGTTGAGTTGTATTGCAGAATTCGAGACCCGGGTGACAGGTATTGAGTTCCCTAAGGGTACTGAGGCCTGGTCGTCATGCTTAAGATCCCTGACCGCAGATAAAGTTGAATGGGCTTATGGATGGCTTCCTGCTACAGAAGCTGTGTACACATCAGCAGAGGTCTCTTATATTCTTTTGATGGGTATTCGAAGCATACAGCCTTATGCTCCTTACCGAGTTTTGCGACAATTTGGAAGATTCCAGACAGTGCACAATGATGAAGACCTGAGTGGGCAAGTCATCGAGTTAGGCCCGAAGGATGTATTCCCTGAAGGCGGAATCCGAAAGATATGGAATGAGTGCAGATACCTTGAGCTTAAGACTATAGTACAGGACTGAGCCAGAGGCGAGGTAGATCCCAAATACTTGGTCTGGTTTGGTAAAAGATTTCAAATTCCTGAGAGACCCGCCAAAAGGCCACATGTACAACAATTCACTAACGAGGCCCAGGTGCAATGGGATTGGTTAGCCAAAGAAAAGGAGTACAGGGCCCGAATAGGAGCATTGGAAAAACAGGTTCAGGATCTCCGGTTTGAAAACAGCTTGCAAGCCGCAGCCGATGAAGGTGATAAAAAGAAACTGGCCCAGGAGAATGAATCTCTCAAGGCCCAAATTCAACGACTGAAAATAGATGCCTGGAATCAAGAAAGAAGTCTATCCGATGAGAGATTGATAAAAGGGTTAAAGAAGCAAGTCATAGACTGCCAGGAAGAATTGGAGAAATCCGAGGGGAACATAGCAAGACTTCGAGCTCAATGGGCAAAGAAGACTGAGGAAAGAGCCCAGTTTGTACAACAAATGAGGAGAAACTACGAGGGAACCATTGCTAACATGAAAAGAAAAATGAATACTCTTGAAGAAAAGGCAGCTCGGCGGGACAAAGAATTTCAGGCCGAGAGGGAACAATGCTATGGGTTAATCGCCGAGATGGAAAAGGAAATAAAATTGTTACAAGACCTTCACTTCCAGGATTCTCAGGTGCTAGAGGCTCGTACCCAACAGATAAGTCGACTACTCCAAGAAAAGGGCCAAATCAGGGAAAGAATCAGAAGCATTGCCAACTATATTGTCATGAAGTGTCAGGCCGGTGAGCGGATGGGTCGTACCACGTTCTTTGCCTCAGTGATGATATTTGTTCGCCAGGTCATGAATGATTTAGATCAGTTGCAAAAGGGTCTTGCACGCAGGCCTGCGGCGATGCCGAATGATGCCCCGCGGGCCCCAGGATTTGAAGCTTTGATGTATTCTTAGTTAATCGAGTCTGTATTTTTGCTTTTGAGTCTGATTTTTGTAATTTCCTTTTTCCAAGAAAAGAAAAACAAATAGTCTAGTAGCTTTGTAATCGCAATTGTTATTAATGAAAATTGAAAATCCCAGAATTTGTTTTCTTATTTTTGCATTTATTTGCAAGAACTACGCTTGGTTTGATTCATGCGGGGTCATGATACGTAGGCAATCTCCATAGGATTCGACCGTAACCCTAAGAAAAAGAAAAAGAAGAAATACGAGGGGAGGAAATAAAAGAAAAACAAGAGAGGA